TTCATACCATAAAAATTATGTCTAAGACATTTTGTCGAAAAATGAATAGTTTCGGAAATAATTGTTTGCTTCCATACTTTTTCCCCACCCTGTATATATATATATATGTATGTATGTATAATATTCTAATGTATAAATTTTATAGTGCGGATTATTATGCAGAAAAAGCACAAGAGAAGGAAGAACGTAGGAAAAAGAAAGAAAAACCAAAGAGATCAACTGTGAGCAAACAAAGCAAATAGAAGATAAATATGCGCTCTATCGCTCTTAATTGGTTTTTCATTTGTGTTTTAATATATTCTTTTCTTTAGACAGAGGAAACAAAGGAGATCGAAGATGACGAAACAGAGCAAACATCTGCAGGAACAGATAATAAATTGCCAAAAGGTTCAATTATTTACTTTTCTGGTGTTTCCAAGACATGTACAAGAGAAGATGTCAAGGAATGTTTAGACAAATTCGATGCTGATATTGCATATATCGATTTCCAAAGGGGACAAACGGAAGGTTGGGTACGTTTGCAGGGAGAAAATGCTGCCAAACCTTTGTTAGAAAAGACGAATGAAGGCAAGGTGAGAGAAAAAAAAATATCCACAAAATTTTTTTAATTCTATAATAGTTCCTCAATCTTGAAATTACAATAATCAAGCAAAACATTTTTCTTGTTTCAAGGTGGTAATCCAAGATGTTGAAGTTACCTGTAAAATGCTCGAGGGTGAGGAAGAAGACAAATACCTCGCTAAAGCGATGGAAGATATAGTAGCTTCAAAGAACAAATACAATAAATCCAAGCGAGGCGCTAAGAAAGGTGATAAAAGATTATTTTAAAATAGTACAATTGTTGACTACCAAATATACATATAATGATGCTTTGCCATGCTAATACTGAGAAGTCTATACATATAAATTATGTATATGTTTCGCTGAGTTAAACTCTTAAAACAACTGAATTCCTTATTATGATACAAAATTTTGTATTTTTAAAAAGCAATTACTAATAAAATTTTTTATGTTCAAAGGACGTGGCGCACGGGGTTCGAAAAAGAGAGGTAACAGTCCCTCGCACGATACAGTTCCTGCTAAGAAAAGAGCTATCGAATAAGATTGATTTATCCTGAAACCTTCAAAGTTACATAGTGTATATTACACTTTATTTTCATTGCATTAACGAATTACATAGAGAAAAGGAAATGTTAAATTATGTCTAGCATAATTTATCATATTTGAAACTGATTTGCTTTAAACTTTTCGTTACATTATCTTTTCATGTATATTATTTTAAATACTTTGAAAATATAGCTTCGTCTATATTTAGTTAGATGCGTGCGTTATGTTTAATTATTTAACATTTCACCGACACTGACCTAAAATTTAAAAGATGATATGATAATTTTGCCACTTGACGGACGATTAACAAACAAAAATCGCCATATATTTTTATAAATTGGCATTTATTGTTGTACAGTGAAATTTACAAATTGGTTTTTTTCTCTAGACTATAACACGTATTTAAATTTCACTGTCGTTTTACGTGCGTCAATACTACCTTCACGCAAGTATCACAACGTGTTAAAGATCATATCATTCGCGAACAGTTACTTTGAAAAATTATACGTAATGACGTATGTACGTACTTAAAACTATTGTAATCGGCAATATGATTTTACGCGACACGGAGTCTGTGCATATTACGCTACATGGTATTTAATTACAGCTTTACGGTCTTACATTATATTGATACATATGTATAGTTTCATGTGCCGAGGAATCGTACGTATCGATTAGATGAATCTTATTTCTTTAGACAGTCTCAATATTTAATGATTTTGAAACTCATTCTAGGTGGAAAAAGATATTGTTTCTTTTTCTAATTAATGTAAGATAACAGTTAAATTGTTAGAAAATTCAGTTCTTGTATTATTTGTTATCGTTCTGTACGAATAAATTTCAGGTTTACATTCCTTATACCACAATCTCAATAATCAAGATATAAATGATGATAGAAACATTTTAGTACGTAAAAACCTGTCAGTGGTTGTGTTTATATTTTCCGTTTTTCATATTGTTGTGCCTGATTTTGTTATATTGAATACTAGCATAATTATATTCCATTCCATTATATCCTGAGAAGCGCATTTCATTTTCGCGCGTGGACTGATTTAGTTGCATACAATGACGAGGATGATTTTCAAAACTTGGTATCTGTGTTGTGTATAGCGGTCTCGGCGATCTCAGGTCATGAATATTAATTCAGGATTAAGAACTCTCTACAAAGACAAAATGTATCTCTGCAAACACGAGCGCGATCACGTCTTAGGATATTGGTCGTGGAAGAGAGAGAGAGAGAGAGAGAGAGAGAGAGAGAGAGAGAGAGAGAGAAAGAGAAAGAGAGAGTTCTATACAAGTTTTAATTCTACTTTAAGAGAAATTACATTTTCGTTTTTTTTTTATTGTTACATACTTTGAGCAGATATTTGATCTTGGCGATAATTTCTCAATTTAGATAGGCCGCGATCGAAGGAATTATATTTCATAAATTTTGGCCAAAGAATCAAAGTGCCATCAAACGAGCTTATCTCATTGTACATTTAATTAATGTAAAATTAAAAATTACGCCGTTATATATATATCCATTTAATTCTGTAATATAATGTTAATTAAAATATTGTAATTAAAAATATAGACATGTTCAATATATTAATATTTAATTTTGATGTTAATACTGAAGTTAATACAGTATTAATACTCGTACCTTGTTTTGCATGTTAAAGTAGAAAAGGATATACAAGATGCGCTGTCAATCGTGAAATTTCGAGGTTCTTGAAGAAACGCGGATGGGAATGATTTTACGGAACGTGTGTATATATCATCACGATGAAGAGTTCTAGCCGCAATTTCGTGGTGGTACGATACTTATGACTGTCGGACTATTCTCTATGAGAAGAACACTCAGCGAAGGGTCGAGTCCGCCCTCTCGAAAGTCGTCGCGCTGCTCGGTCGTAGTCTCGTACTCCCGATGCCGTTCTACGGCTTTGCTCCGTCGAATGCACTCGTGATTGTGCACTTGCGCGACAGGTAACGCGGTTGGAGAATTGCGCTTTCCGCCCGAGTAAACTTCGCGAGCGCTATTAAGCCGTTCTCCTCGGCAGCAGGATCGAAATTACACGTTTCGAAGGGTGTAGCCTAGCTATGTGTTGTAAAGGCGGAAACGACGAGTGCACTTTCACTTGTACGAATGGTACTTCCGTACACCATATTCGTTTCGCTTGCGAATAACGAATGCTTATCGCATCCAATCCGTTTGATCCGTTTCGAATCGAGTACCTCTTCCTCCCAATCGATACTTTACAAAGCAATCGTCGAGAGACTGGTATGCGATCGTATACGTGGCTTTGGTATTCCGATTCCGTTTCAAGATCTCTTAGATCAGATTCGTCATTGTCGTCGTCGTCGTCGATTACCGTGTATCGATCCGTACACGATATTCTTATACATATAATTGCTTTTTAGCAAAGAATTCAATTTAGAGCTTCTTAGCAAGAGTTTCATTATACGTTTCGTTCGAATATTTCCTAGTCAGGCGCCCTTTTTCTATGATATCGAAAATACCGATACGTTTCCTTTACGTGCTATACTGATACTTAAGGCCACCTATTTGCCACGGTCTCTGAGAGAATCAGTATTTATTCCGATGAATTAAATGGCTAGGAAACATTGTATCAATATCTTCAATTGCAAAAAAGTCCTTTGAATAAAATACTTTGAGCACCTGATATATACATAATATAGCGACGAATTACGAGGGGTACTTTAGCGATCACTTTCTTAAAAACAACAGAATATTCCGTTTCATTATAAATAGCAGCTACGTACAATCCACGTCTCTATTAGAAATAACGACCACGTGCAATCTTACATTCCTACCAGTAGAAAGAACCGGTCACAAAGTTTCCTAAGTAGTAATAGTCAGGCGCAATCTAGCAGTAATAACAGTTCAGTATTGCGACCGCGTTATAGTCAGTCATGTCGCAGTATCGCGGTGCAAGTAGTAACAGTCGATAACAATCGACCATTTTTAGTAACGACTAAAGTCAGACGCGCTGTTACGTTGATTTTTTTACCACAATTCACACACAATGCACACTGTAAAAGATCTGTTACATGGTTCTTTTCTGTTGGAATTCGAGTTATGTTCGCGTAATCGCGATAAATGAAAAATTCCCTTAATCGCGGCACTGTGTCCAATGATTAATTAAGGGAATACATCGTTCAAAATCTGGACTCCGTGGTGGCCTTTTCCGAGTCCATAAAGGTCACTCGCTTCGTCCGCGCGTTGCCCTCTGGGGGCAACCCCTAATGCTATACGGATATTTCTTGTATCTGCACGCGTTTCTTGATAGTGTTGGTGCTACCGGCAGTGGTGAGCGAACTGGTGGTCCTGGCGGGCGGTTTCGGAGGGATCGCGTCCTTGTGGGCGTTGCCGCTGGTCCCGTGACCGGATCTCGATTCTTTCCTCAATTGCTCGCTGTCCTGACAGTCCTGGGACGGCGCGAACTGCTGCTGTTCCTGAATGGAAGGGCTTCTCGCGAGGGTTGTGTACGAGGGGGGTGGCTCTTGAGCGGGTCGCGGATTGTCGGAGGGTTTTATGGACGTCCTGGTGGTCATCGGCAGAGACTCCTGTCCATTCGGCCTACAATCCATGGCGGCACGTTTCTTGTCGCGATCCCGCTGATAATAAATGCCAGCGAAGATCAACATATTCAGAACTAGAAGGATGCAACCGACACCCACAGTGATCCCCAGGGCAGTGGTCGTGCTGTAGTAATGTCGAGACGCTAGTCTCTGTAGCAGCTCGGCATCGTCCTCGGAATCATCCAGAATCGGAGTAATATCCTCGATAAGGCTATCCTCACCTCCCGTAGATGTGCTGCAGGCGGTGGTTGAGGAAGAACTCGTCCGAGTTGTGCCTGTCAGCGGCAGTGGCGTGTACCATTCGTCCCGAACTGGTCCTGAATAATAATAAAGTAAGGTATATATAATTGAGTGATATATCTCTTAAACCAAAGAAATAAGAATTTAAACTTTCACTTCTTTCGCAAGATATGATCTTACCTGCATAATAATGATCGCCTCGTTCCCGGAAGTGATGATGTCGCATTGAAACGTCGTCGTCGCCAGGACGATGGAGCTGAGGTATCAAATTAAGCCATACAGCCATTTTATGACCGCGATAATGACTCTTCATCTTCGGTTTTAACGCTAAAATAAAATTTTAATGATTAAAAACGTCTCTTTTTCGATAATTATTTGTTACCATTGACTATAAAGATAGTTATCACATATTATTAATCAAATCTTAAATGTGCAAATTAAGCAACGTATTTTTGCGAATAATTATTAATAACGAATTAATTATAATTATCGAATGCATTAAAGGAATATCTATGTAATTATCATCAAGAAATAATTTCACATTTCATTTAAAAAGATTTCATCTCGCACGCACAATTAAATTTTTCAAAGAAATTTCAAAGAGAACGCGTCGAGGCGGACAAAGTCCACTGTACACAATCAAAATTCTGAAGGAACTTTTCAGAGAATTTAAAAAGATCGCGACGTTCCACGAGAAACGTCACGATCCTTTTAAAGAAACGGAGGACGGAAGAAGGCGCTTTGTAGAAAATTAAATTTATCGAAAAATAACGGTGGAACTACTTCTTCTCTTCTTGCAGTCTCAAGCGCAACATACCTATCGTGAGATACTGCTGAGATCCTGTCTCATATTGTTCCCATGTGAGACCGCGGAATCGCGTCTTCTCCTTCGGCGTGCCATAGTCGACCGACTCGATCTTGTGCGGTTCGTTCGGGTTACCGGTCTTGGCGAAATTGGTGAAGAAGGTGAGTACGGCCTCTGCAACGCCCTGGTCTTGTCGGGAATAATTCCGCGGGAAGAAAGCCCCGCCTGCCACCAACGGCAGCCCGAAAATATACGGTATGTCCTCCCCACGAACGCTCCCCAGCCGCTGCAACGAGAGATTTCCCACTGAGAGAATCGGAGCCGTAGAGCATCCAAGCTCCGTAATCGATAATTATACGGCCGACACTACGTACATTCATACAGGCGCGAGATATTATAATATTTACTACACGCGCAAATTTGCGTAATTCGTAATTAATGTCAATTAAATTATCAACAGCTATCGGCGATTGTTTTATTTAATTAACCGAAACAGAATATCAGTTAATCATTGATAGCTAATTTTAGTGTTAATTAATAGAATCGTGACGATTAGCCAGAAATTGTCTCTCCGACCCTTTGCAGAGCGTTATACTGCAAATGCATAATTTCGACAGTTAAATTCTCTATCACGCTGCATGAAATGGTTCCACGTATTATACCACTGATCCCTATTAGCACGCGTGAAACGCGTGTGGGAAAGAATATACGAGGAGAGTACAGGAGAGTGTGGCAGGCGGAAAACGCCACGATTAACAATTCAAATAAATTCATCGCATTTGCATTCAGTGGTCTTGATATCGCTTTCTTATCTCTCTTCGGCGCGGCTTTTTCCGCCTTTGTCTCGTCTAATTCGCTCATTTCTTTCTTTTTTATCGTGCGCTTGGTAAACCAGTGTGACGTTTCGATTGTGATTGACAATATTTAAAGCGACAGAGTCAGTTGCGGTTACGTGAACTTATTAAGGGGATCCTAAAGTCGTCTATTTTATCAATTCAATGGAGCTTATACGTATGATTTACGTGTCATTGATACATTACTACACTCTATTATATCAATATCGCACACGTATGTACCAATTTTCTAACTAATCTTTCATATTAGGTACCTAAGACTAATTCTAAGAACTTAACATTGTTTGTTCATGTAATCTCTAATCCGAGATTGTTTCATACAAAGTATCAAACTTGTATATAAAGCAAATATTGTTACAAATTGGCGCCACCCAAGAACAACAAGTCACGATAATGTTAAAGTGACATTAAAATGAATCGGAAAATGACTTTTAACGATCATTTTGGAGTCATTTTTACATCATTTTGATATCATAATGGCAGAAGCTGATAACAAAACTGTAATTTTCTAATTTTTTTTTTTACATAAAGTCGACCAAGTTAGACTACATTACCGTTTTTACTTTAATTGTGGAAGAGGATTTTTAAATCTAGTATAATGGCAATTAGAAAAATATTTTTGAAAAATAATCGATAAAGACGACTTCAGGAGGAGAATCTTTCGCCTCGCGCTTAATTAAATCCCCTTTTGTGCACATGTGACTGGGACAGGGGAGGGCGGAGGGGGGGGGGGGGGGG